TACCCTCTCACATAACTTCATTGTATGACTTATGAGCTTAAAAACCTTAAAATCATCACAATTTTGAACACATTTGTTCTCAAATAATTGATACCAAAATATTAAATCTTCAATCATTTGGCACCCATCTAATTCATTAGATTTCATCGAAATATTTGTTAATCAAACTACTCCAACATTTCACATAACACTCCAAACCATAATGTAAATCTTAACCAGGACTAGAGATTTAGCTTCATCTATCTTCATTCAAAGTAAACTAAAATTCATTTATTAAGATCAATCTATGATAGAATTGAAGAATCCACTCTTCTTGTTCAGCTAAATTTTTTTCTACCAAAACAATCTCATTTTATATCTTCTCAAAATCGTACTTCCATTTTTATATAATATATTTATTTTTAACTCGCATCATATCATCCCCATGCTAATCTACAGTTATCAAATTCTCTTGAGCTCCTTTCTCTTGCCTTATCTTTCATATAATCATTTGATCATCAAGAGTTGCAACTTTGATTTTGCTTGTTATGTTCATTTTAAGATTTCTAACTTTCTTATAAATATTTAAAAAGGAGTATTTCTTCTTCTTCTTCTTTTTTATTAGCTTAAAAGCAAATATTTTGCTTGATAACATTTTGTGTCCCATTATTCCACCACCAAATGAACTAATTAAGGGCCCGTTTGGAGCTGCAACAGAGCCACGGCGAGACATGGAGACGCAATTGGGGTCATTTGGCGACTCGCGGCGTGGCGACTTATTAAAAACACCGAAGGAAATACAGCCATGGGCATGCCCCCGCGGCCCGCGTTCCTTCCTTATTCGTGATCCCGTTGCTCCTCTCCTCACACCGTTGCAGTTCGTTCTCTTGTCGTTCCCTAGCGACACGCTCCTCTCCAGCGATCCTCTCTCTCTCTCTCGCAAAACTTGTTTAACTCTCCTCTCTCTCTTGCGTGATTCTCAAGGATAGGGTTGCCTCTTTCTCTCTAGCGAGGTTCTCACGGATAAAGTGAGCTCTCTCTCTCTCTCTCTCTCTCTCTCTCTCTCTCTCTCTCTCTCTCTCTCTCGCTCGCGATTCTCACGGATAGGGTTCCTCTGTGTGGTGTCATATTGATGTGGTGTCTTCTTGATGTGGTGCTTTCTTATCTATCGGATGGTTCATTTATGTTGTGGTGCCTCTTCTTGCTAGGTAATTCTTACCTTAAGTATGCTATTGTTTTTGTTTTCGGAAATGCCTATATGGCTAAAAATTTCATGGATGTGGCTTTACGGTTGTTCCTCTGTGCGGTTCTTCTTTTTCGTGCTAAGTAAAATGTACCCTAACTAGATTTTGATTTTGCAAAAGGCTTTTAATGCCTGAGAATTTGGTTTTGCAAATTCTTATTCTTCTGGTTGGTTAATCCGTACCCTAAGAAATATGTGGCTTTTGATTTTGTAAAAGGCTTATAATGCCCGAGAAATTAGTGGTCTCTTCTGTGCGGTGGTTCCCCATCCCATTGGTTAATACCTACTGTGCTCAAGAATTTTGAGGTTTTTGATTTAACAATTGCTTATGATTAATTGGTTTTCGGTTGGTGTTGGTGGGGAATTGCGATGACTTGGGTGTTGGTTTCGGTTGAAGTTAGATATCGGTTTTATACTTGCCCTTTTACGTTCTTAGTTGGTGAAATCACTGCTTATCTGAAATGCACGTTCAGCGGCTTGCAATCACGTGCAAAGTGGTATCTTTCGGTTGATAACGGATTATGTAAATTTAGTTGATGTTGGCTTATCTCCTTTATGTGGTGGATGTGAGGGTGGATGTGTTTGGGTTGAAGGATGTGGATGTGGTGGTGAAGCATGGTTGGTGTGTTGATGTATAGATGGAGGAGGTGGTGTTTGGTGTTGTTTGAGGTGATGTGTTTGGAGGTGGTGTTTGGGTATTCATGTAGTTGTGGATTTGTTGGTGATGGTGGATGTGTTTGTGTGCGGGTGAGGTGGTGGTGGGTATTTCAGTGTGGTTGTAGATGTGTTGGTGATGGTGGATGTGTTTGGAGGCAGTGATTGTGTGGTTGTGTATGTTTCAGTCAGTGTGTTGGTTTGTGGAGTTTTTCGTGTGTAAAAATAGTTGTTGTGTTGTGTGTGTGAAGGTGTTTGTAGTACTGTTGTGTGGGTGGAGATGGTGACAGTAGTTATGTGTAGGTGTTGTGGTGGTGTGGTGCGGAGGAACAGTGGTGATGCCATTGTGGCATTCTTTTACATCTCTGAACTATGTTAAATAATTTTATGAGAAATGTTTAAGTTAATTAATTTTTTTCATGCTAGTAATATTTTCTAATGCTGCTGCTGTGGACTTCAAAATTTCCCGCTAACTTTGCATCATCCACATAGTTACTGAAGAAAGTTTACAGGTGTCCGCAGAGAATTACGAAAAACTATGACTTTTTCGTTGGGCAGGGGCAGATAGGCTGGAAGATTCCACCGTCGAGAGTGATCAGGCATGGATAGTATCTCTGGATGACAACTTAGCTCCTGACATACATCGTCTGCATTTTAAAAATAGTATTATTAAAATGTTATTTTAATAGTCATTTTTTTTTAATTTTAGTAATAATGATACTCACAGTTAAGTGAGGTGTGTTTCTTTTTTTTTGTAAGGATTTTCGCTTCTAAAGTATAAAATAAATTAATATAATAGTTTTGTTGTAAACAGCATTACTATACAAGGACAAAATGGTTATTTGTCCAGAAACAGCTATAGCGCAGCTATTTTCAAACAGTAAAAAACAAATAGTCAATCAGTTTATCCGCAGCAGCGTACTATCAAGTTACAACTGCCCAAACAGACCCTAAATGTCATTGTCTGTAAAAATAAATTTTATCTGGTTAAATAGAAAAAAAAATTATGAGAACTCGCATAAAAATTTAAAAACCGCTATCATATTCAATAAGAGTGTAAAATATATTAAGGTATTTACAAAGTACTAATAAAGATTAAATTCTATCATGTCTAAACGGTTGAATCCATAGATTAAATCAATTTGATGAATTGAAAAAGAACTACAAAGTATCATAACAACATAGATGTCTTGGAACTGGATCCATGAATCGACCAGAAGAGCACCATTTTTCTTGAAATAATCAGTCACATCAATCAACTATAGGAATACCAAATGAACACCCGTAATCAAGCTTGCCCAATAAACTAAGAAAAGCAAAAGAGAACACCAACAGAAGTCCATCAATTGAAACCCTAATTGTTTAAGAAGCAACAATTCGCAGATGGATTGAAACCATTACGGTTTATTGAGTTTTTTTCTTAAATAATTTAAAGACTAAAGAAAAAACCTAAAATTTATAGTTGGACGAAAGTGTTATGCGTGAATACATTGATAAAACTGAAATAATACATTCAAATTAGATGTAATATGAATTTAAATATATCGGATTTAGGCAAATCAGTAAATTTACATCCAGAATCTAAATTTTATAAAAGATTGACAAATTAAATTTCAGCAATTCTGCAAATATATATTCGACAATTTAGTGTTATGAATATAGATATATTAGAATTAAAAAATCTGTAACTTCAGATTTTTAGATTCAAGTGTTAAGGGTGTAAATACGTTAGATAATATAAAATATATACTTAATATATGTAGATTTAAGTACTAGATAGGAAAATACATGGGAACTAAAAGATCTGTAGCTATACATTTAAATTCAAGTGTTAGATGCGTAGACATATGGAGTTTCATATAAATTATCAAAGTATAATCATAATTTCAGTTTTATTAAGGTAAACACATTGAATTCTAGTAAATCTATGAGTTTATATCCAAAGTTAAACATTAAGTATATAAATACACTAGTTAATAGACAAAACTAGCAAGCTTGTGTTTAAATTTAACTGAAGTATGTAAATATATTAAAATCAAACAATCTATGCATATATGTTTTAATAGAATGACATATTATACACATAAATATACAATTATTAAACCATTTGAAAGCACATATTTGATAGAAAAAAATGTTAGGTACGTAAATACATCCAAATTAAAAAAATCTAAGATTATTCAGCATATTTTCAATGCTATACACCATAATTTAATAAATTAAAAGATCTATAGCTTCACATTTAAATTCAGGTGTTAGATATGTAAATACTCAAGGATTTAAAGAATCTGTAATTTGCTTTTAACTTTTAGATGTTATATATGTATATTAAGATTTCAACAGTATGTTCATCTTAGAAAATATATGCATCATATAGAAATATGTAATAATCTAACAACACACATATACTTCTTAAAAGTTAAGCAAGAAAGGTATGTATATAAACTTTCAAGAATTTGGCATCACATATATAAACTTAAGAGCTGTTGGTATGCATCTAACTCTTCCAAGGGTAAGTATGATATGAAAATTTTGAGAAGAAGAGTGAGGGTTTTGAAAATCTTTTATGGGGCTGTTTTGGCAGCAACATCTGAGCTTCGATTTTCAACAATATAAAAAAGCAAATATTAATTTAGGTTAAGGAAAATAATGGGATTAGAAAATAACAATGACCATAAAAAGCCAATAATTTTCTTCTTCAAAGACCAAAAGTTGATAATTAATGAGAGAAAAAATTCTTAAAATTTCTGGAAGAAAATCCATAAGCAATGAAGTAAATGGAATCAAACTTATATTAGCTTAGTTGGAGATCCAATTAGGAAAACATAGGGAAGAATTAATAATATTCTGGAGAATGATGATTTAGGGGAGATTTGGAAAAAGGAAATTCCTTATCATATTCAACGGTAAAAGAAACAAGACAAGCTAAATCACCTGAACAGGATTTTATTGTAAACAAGAAAATTTTAACAATTGATTTAGCTAGGGTTCTTTATGAATCCGCAATAAAATAAAGAACGTTAAATCCCAACCCTAAAGCAAGCGATCTACACATTAGAAATGCATAAAAGGAATTGTAAACAATTATATGCCATCCAATAAAGAAATAGAGGTTCAGGTTTACCTGATTGAAGTCTCTTGCAGTTTGATTGGAAGAAGAAGAAAGAAATCCTTGCATCTTGAATGATCGTAGGAAGGAGAAGAACCCTGCTCGCGAATGATTGGAGGAAGGAGAGATCCTCGCGGTTCAGAAAATTGGAGAAGAATGAAGACCCGTGCGGCTTGGACAATCGAAGTAAGAAGAAGCCCTTGCTCTGCAATTTGACCGGATGAAAGAAGAAAAAGCGTCTTACAAACAGACCACAGGAAGAAGGAAGATCTTCTTGCGACACAAGATCCGTGCGTGAATCGGATGGAAGAGAAACCCTCTCAGCTTAGACGATCAAATGAGGAAGAAGCTCCTCGCGGCTAAGACGATCTGGGAAATAAGAAGCTCCTCGCGGCTCAGACGATGACGATCGGAGAAGAGGACCCTCGCAGCTCTCGTCCGACTCGAAGGGCGACAGAACAATTGCGATCTGAGTGTGGGCAGTGGAAAAACCGATAGTTGCCGATAATAGAGTTAGAAAAAGAGAGAGATTTTCTATAAGCTTTTTAATTGTTTGATTTATATTTTTCAAAAATAATTTATTTATATATTTTTTAAAGTAAATGAATATTCCAGCATGCAAAAGTTGTAATTTTCTTAGTAAAACAGTAATATCTGCACATTATATATTTTAGAACCAATAAAACTCTCAATAAAATTACAAAAAAGATATACAACTCACTTAACATTGATTATAATGAAACTTTAAAAAAACTAACTTGTTAAAATTAAAATTTAAAAACTACAATATTCATTTTAGAATGTAGAAACAAGTCACGAGGAACATTGCCCGGGTGTGACGCGGTAGAACCATGAGCAACCTTGTCCGATTAGGAAATAGTTGAATCACAAGCGACGTTCTCAAGTTGCGATACCGTCGAACCCCGAGCAACATTGTTCGGTTAGTATAACATAGAATCAGATGTACTTTTTGCCCACCTAAAGAACTTGCAGACCCAGGTTCGTGTGTCCACCGTGGACACCTGTAGAATTGTCGCTCGTAACTATGTTGCTGACGTGACGTAAGTAATAAGAACGGCATTCTGCAGCGTCATTGTACTTGCTTGGACTTTCCTGAGAGCTTGTAACACATCTTACTACAATTATTTAAGAAAGAATAGACGAGTCAAAAAATTACTAATAAAAAAATCATACAATTTGAAAAAATAAATAAATAAATAAAATAACCAATTCAAATTTGATATAAAAATATAAAACTGGAAGAATTATATCAACTATTTTGGTACAAGGTAATAAACTAATTCTAAATAAATATTTTTGTAAAAATTTTGTTCTTGTTACTTTCGGTCTATCAATATTTTACCTTATCCTTCAATGCCACAGTAGGGTTCTTTATCGGATTAGAACAATATCAACTATTTTGGTAGAGGCTTGAGTACAGACCAAAATCTTTGATGGGGGCATCTTTATTGGATTGAAAATCCTCTTGAATGATTTGCATATATGTCACCCAACTTCGATGTCCTTACATAACACCTAAACATTCACATTTGCAAATATATTCACATATCTCATACGTAAATATTCATATTTACATGCATACCACACAGTTCTGATATAGTTACCTATCTAACATCTATGCTTCCATTGTTACATGAATACCACTCAATTCTTATTTATTTGCATGTGTTGCGTGCTAAATGGCTATTAAAATACCAACGTGTAAACCTTGATCTAATTTGGGTCTGTTCCGTGGCATGTTAAAGTTTGTTATTATATGTTGTTTATTTTGTAAATGGAAAGGTTGTAGTGATAGACTTGCTCTTTTTTATTATTATTATTGATCTTTAGCTTTTAGCTGATAGAGGGGGTTTTTAAGAGTGGAGGTGTCTCGGTCTTCATTTTATGCAGTTTCAAAAGACATAAACTCCTAGCAAACATGAATTTCTAGTGTTTTTAAGATTCAAGGAGAAGGGCAAACTAAATTTAACATCTCACATGGAACTATTAAAATCATCATTTTGTTCAGCTTTAGTGGATTTAATAGGGATGCGAAGATAAGAAACAAATCGTTTCTTTGTTGCATTGTAGCTCGGTTACATTTTGCACTCTAATATTCTACATCTATGTTTGTTTGGGTAATAACATGCACCTTCCTTTTGAGATTTGAGCTTAATTTGCATGTTATGTTCCTTTTTCTTACTTCTTTCCGTTGTTGTTAGTGGAACCATACCTAATGTCATCTTCACCTTTTTGCACCATTCATTAAATAGTATAGAATATGTCATATATTTTTTGAACTAATAATTCCCCTATTGTATGGTAGAGTTTTAATTGAATGTTTTAGGGATGGAGGGATAGAACCACACTCTCGACCACTGTCATGTTGAAAACGGTTTATCAGTTTGATGATAAAAGCAAGAGCTAATCCTCATCTTTTTGTTATCTTCTGCATGCATTTTGTTGTTCATTTCTTCTTTCACTTTTACTGTATTTCAGTACACTTCAACTTTGCAACTTAAATCCATATATGCTCTTTGTCCTTACTATGATAAAGCTTCTATGGAGAAACAATGTGAAATTTAAGATAATGTAGTTTCATTCCAGTTTAACTAACAGTTCTTCTATTCGACGCAATGGATTATTAACACTACAAATTGATGGTCGTTTAATCTCAAGTTTCAAATCAGCAATGTTGTGTCATTCTTCTTTTGGTTGGTTGTTTTCTATCTGCTTGTTAGTGGCAATCACTCATGTGCACTGCTATTACATGATTTGTTCATCTTCGCATTCTTATGAAAAGAAAATGAGTTTCTTCTTACTGATAATCATTGCAAGAAATTCATGTTTTTGAATATTTGGATAAATGCTTATAACTAATTATTATTATTTTAGCTTAAGAGGTTAGGCAGTGGTTGCATCATAAGTTCTGTCTTCTTTTAGGATTTCGAGGTTGTCATTCGGTACGGGATAAATCCTATTATCTTCATAAGCCATTTGCATGATTGGGTGTCGTGCAAGTGTAAGTTCTAAATAATAAAATTGGCAAGATTAAAACACTAAATAATATCATTTCAAAAACAGAAAGTCATGCAGTAGGATAATTGGTAAGTCACCGAAGTTTGCTTCGAAATTCTTGAAATCCCCTACATTTTCGCTCATTCGAACTCCTAAAATAATTGTTCATGCTTGAGTCATTCCCTTTTGACTTTTTTGTGTCCAACCATGAAAACTAAATTTTGAAATCTTGAAGACAGTACCATTGATCTTAGTTGAGAGTCCTTTTATGCGATTTTGATTGCCTAAGATGTAATTAACTATATAGGTTTGTCGTTGTAGGAAACTAAGAACATAGGTAAAATAAACTCTATATTGTTTTTATATTAGGTAGGAAAATTTTTCGGTCATACATAAAAGGTTCACAAACCGAATGAATGTCATAGGTTATCTAGTTTATATAATCAAGGACTCTATCAAGTGTGGTCATGCCCATACATCATTATTTTGCGTGTTTTAACTCTATTTTTTGTGTTTGGCACACATAACCTACAAAAGAATATAACAAACCTTCCACAAGCATAAGATCATGATAAATGAGGTAAAATCGTATGTAAGATGCATGATAAAAGGCATGTGAAATCACATAAAATTTACTCCTATTATGAACCATATAGGTCATGATTGAAATTCATGATAAAAGGTGGGCAACAAATGGTTGCTTAAGGAGCGTCAGTTGGCCACAGAGGCTGTAGAGGATGATATAAGAGCCATGAGCCATGTAGGTCGCAATTGGTCAAATTGTTGTAGTAGTGAGCTGTGATGATGTTCGTAAGTTATAGGGACCGGAGTCGAGAGCTACATGAGCTACGAACCATGTAGGATATGGTTGATCACGTGGGTTATAGTGGTTAGTTGTGATGATGCCTTTAGGTCATAGGGTGTAGAGTCGGGGGCTGCATGAGTTCTGAACTACGTAGACTGTAGTTGGTCATGCATGCCATAGTGGTAAGCTCTGACGGTGTTCCTACGCCATAGGGTGCAGAATTGTAGCTGCATAAGGTGCGGACCATGTAGGTCGTATTATGTCAATTGTGGTTGGCGATTGCAGGTGCAAAAGGTTGACTATGGGGTGGCGATGGCTGGAAGTGGCAGCATCGGTTGGAGGCAGTGGAAGCCAAAGGCATAGGCGATTAAAGTTGGTCAAATTTGTGGTGCAGGATACTAAGCTGCAAGCCTGCAACTCTTTTATCTACATACTCTAGTCTTCCTTTTTTCTAGGGTTGTCCCCTTCACATGAGGGTGGCAAGGTTTTATTTATAGAGTCTAGGTTGCAAATAAGAAAAGAATCCAAATCGTTGTTGATTGGATGACCCAGAGATTTACCCTTGATCAGACGACTTTCAATGGACAATTTAATGCAGTTTGGAATGGCGCGATCTTGGGCTCATTGGATACGTCTTGTCGGGACATTCGATTTCACTATAAACATGTCATATACATAATTTGTTGGATCTTCCAACTATGTCCGAAAATCTTTCAAAAGTGGTTTAGTTTGTTTTGATTCGGATTGAGCCAATTTTGATATTGTTGGATTCGTCTTATCAAAACGGTTAGTTTGACTATAAGTTTGTTGAAATCAAAGTTTTGGATAACTTTTAATTGAAGCTTAAATATTTCTTTCTCAAAAATTATCTCGAGATTTATTTATGGGGTATTAGTAGTTCTATTATGTTGTGATGCTTGTGTTTATTTTTTATAATCTAATGCTTTTATAGTTTTGTTATTACACTCAATGTTACGACTTAATATCATCGTTCATCGTGCTACAATAAATGCTTAAATTTTGTTCAAATTATATGTCCAATTACGGATGAACATCGTTCCAGCTATATTCAAATATTATATTAATTATAAAAAATCCGTTCGATCATCATTTGATTAATATTTTAATTACATTCAAGCATCATTAGAACATGACTTTAAATAAGATTTGAACCTGATTCATACATGCATTAATATTGATCTGAATCAGACTAAAATATAAAAAAATATTGTTTGAAATATGTTTTGAGAATATGGATCAAATTGGAACAAATATTTATTTGGATGGACTATATAAATACGCTGAAATCAAATACATGACTATTCTAGTACAAACTTATTGTTGACTATTATTATTCGCGAGTTCATATAACCTGTGAAGTAGTTGTGAAGAGTTACATATATTCGAAGTCCTCACCTTGGATCCTTGAAGAGGATGTAAATAAGATCCGTTTAGAAGGTGGGGCAACCTCTATTTATATGACTTCATATGACATCTCCCCCTTCTATCCGGTTACAAAAATAGAATATTAAATTATTTTGGTACAAAATGATGTCTAATGAAAGACAATGATGATGTGGATATCATATGATCCATAAATAAACATGACCATCATTTTCATAGTCAGGAGCTTCCATAAAATGCTCATTGAATGAGCTCTAGGGACGAGCTCAACAAATCAA